CGCTCTACCTAAAGACAGGTCGCAGGACGGCGTGTTTCTGCTCCCCTGATTACTCATTGCCGACGGTCTGTTTAATAACTGGTCAGTCAGATTCCCAAACAGATTGAGAGATGAATTTTTCTATGGTAGGTCAAATATATTTGGTATTCAATAGACAAGCCAAAAATTCAAATGATTATGGAATATATATATATATATATATATATATATACAGGGTGACTTCGAAGTTGAGTCATTTATTTTAACAGTGAGTAGATCTGATCAAAAGAAATGTTTTTTTCCTTTACCATTTTTCTGGTAAAATTAAAGTAACAAAGTTATAGCCCTTTGGAAGTTTGAGTACCGCCCTGCCTATTATATGCTCGTGTTTGGCGACAACGGATATAATCCGCCTGACCGGTTCATCGCATCGGAAACAAAAAAGCGAAAGAATTTGAAACGTTTATCACGATGTTTTTCGTCAGTCGATAACGCGTAAGTGAATAGTAGTGTGTTGCGTGGCTCAAACGAAATCAAAAATGGCACATGTTTACGAAAATGCTGAACTTGTGGACATGATTCTTATTTACGGGGGGGCAGTCTTTACAAAATGCTCCCGGATGCATCACGGGTTTATGCGAATCGGTTTCCCAATCTAGTGCAACCAACCCCTCGTGCCTTTGTTAATGTAGTACAAAGGGCTCGTGAATCAGGTGACTTAAGACCTCACAGGTGAGGGCATGCTGCTCCAAGACCGCACGATCAAATACAGGTCCGCACTGAAATACTTGTCGGGAGGATACTTTATTAAACAAGGTAACATTTTTTTTTTATTTTTACACACATATTTTGGTTTATCTTCCTTCTACAATCATTATCTGAAAATTAATGACTCAACTTCAAAGTCACCCTGTATATACAGGTATATATATATATACAGGTATATATATATATATATGTAGGTATATATATATATATATACAGGTATATATACAGGGTGACTTCGAAGTTGAGTCATTTATTTTAACAGTGAGTAGATCTGATCAAAAGAAATGTTTTTTTCCTTTAACATTTTTGTGGTAAAATTAAAGTAACAAAGTTATAGCCCTTTAGAAGTTTGAGTACCGCCCTGCCTCAATAATAATATGTGCTCGTGTTTGGCAACAACGGACATAATCGGAAACAAAAAAGCGAAAGAATTTGAAACGCTTATCACGATGTTTTATTCATTTATTTTATTCAGTTGTATTCATTCGATGTGTCAGTCGGTAACGCGTGAGTGGGGTTTCTGCGTGGCTCAAACGAAATAAAAAATGGCACATGTTTACGAAAATGCTGAACTTGTGGACATGATTCTTATTTTACAAAATGCTGCTACAGCAACACGTATTTATGCGGATCGGTTTCCCAATCGAGTGCAACCAACCCCTAGTGCCTTTGTTAATGTAGTACAAAGGGCTCGTGAATCAGGTGACTTGAGTCCTCACACGGGAGGGTATGTGCTCCAAGACCGCACGATCAAATACAGGTCCGCACTGAAATACTTGTCGGGAGGATATTTTATAAAACAGGGTAACATTTTTTTAAATTTTTTTTTTATTTTTACACACATATTTTGGTTTATCTTCCTTCTACAATCATTATCTGAAAATTAATGACTCAACTTCAAAGTCACCCTGTATATATATACCTATATTATATATCGAAGCAGTCGCGCAGGCAGAAGCCGAAATGCCAAAACACCGCGGCTGCTATCATGATCCCAAAGAAATTTTGTTAATACGATTTTTGAACTGACTAAGGTTAGTAGAACTGGGAAAAGCTTCCTCTTGTAGATTGTTCCACAGTCTTAAAACTCTCAGGACAAAGGGGCAGTCGTATCGTCCAGTTCTGGATGAACGAAGCTCGACACGGTTAGGATGGTACGTCATAGTTAGGCGGGTCTATCTGGCAGGCACATCGCGCGGCGGCATCATGGAAGAGAGCTCCGAGGTGTAGCGGCAGAACAGAACTAGATCGTCGAAGGCCCGCCGGTGCATAGTGTATAGTATAAAATAATAAAAACAAACAGTCAATTCCATGCAATTAAAACAAAAATAATATCCTTTAAAATACAAACAAGTGATAAATCAAGAATTCTCAAAAAAAAACAGTTTCTGTATAAATCCATAAACAAAAGTAACAAATAAACAAACACATTCTTATAAAAATCTAATACGAGCCACGTAGCAGTCTACAGCAGTATACAGTGAAAATGTTTCTGTACTATACGAGTACACTGAAAAAACCTCCGTCCTATTCCCCCAGGTTGGGAATATCATTTCAAAGCGAAGTCTGACTAAGTTTTTCAAAAAGCTTTGTGAAAACAGTTTAGCTACAGTTTGCTTGCAGTGACAAAAAGCACAACAGGTAAATGAACAAAGAATCAGGCCGAATTGTTTTCTTAGGATGCGATTAGAGGTAATAATAGCCAGCCTTCTAAATGCTAAATCCACTAAACGTAAGAGTCAAATAGAAAAATACGACTTTTTTTTCTAGCTACTGTCAATCTCCTTGTGAGCCAAAAACACAAAATACAGCTTTTGTCTTTGAGGTGCCGCGCCGCCGACTGCATAAGCGTACCCGCTGGTTGTTCAACTTCCACATTCATAAGAAAAAATTACATGGATTACTCTTAATGCCTATTGAAATTTAGAATATTAGTTTTTTTTTCTCAAATATCTGGTAACATTTTAGGACTAAAAACAGGATAATTTCTTTGATTAATGCATTAAGTTGTAAATTGAATCAAGAAGGACTTATTCATGTCTTATTTACTTCGTCTCCGTCGCTTGATGGATGGAAACCCAATGATATTAGAAAGAAGGGCAGAACTCTTTGAGCTAGGCCCACAGACTCTGTTCCTATTCTGGTATGAGCACACCGGCGTATTCATGGGAGGGCTTTGGGGCTCCTCGGAGTCTACTCTCCCGAAGCGCAACAGCTCATTACGCTTCTTCTACATATTACAGCATTACACTTCTGTGAAGTGTAGCTACCTGGACCCCCCTCTGCTATGCAGTTTTATATCTCCAAGACACCCCTCCGCCCCGAGACGGAATTTTCGTGTCACCCTGGATCTTGAGCCTCCCCCAGATCTTTTCCTGGATAACACCACTGGTTGAGCAATATCTCAATCTACAGGAAACAATTACTATCGCGAAATCAACCACAACAGTGGCTCCTACAAATCATTTTTATGGACACATTTTAAATTTCCGTCATCGGACTAAACTAGGAAGTCACAGATGAATAAAATTAACAAATCATAACTGATCATAATTGTTTGTATTAGCATTGGGACGATTTCTGGAAAAGCAAAAATTCTATATATTTGGTTTCTATTTAAAGTGGCTGAACCTACCAGTATGTCTACAAACTAAGAAGCATGTAGACCAGAATGCAGTTTTGTATAGACACAAAAAGTGGTTTAACTAAATACTGGTGAAATTCTTTTCAGAGCTAATGAAATTAGTTGCAAGAAGAATAAATAGCTAGCGCTAATTTCGTAAACTAAACGTTTTTCATATTTATATTTTAGATGAGAATGTTCAGCTTCCAAACGTAACTATGTTTGGTAGCCTAGCACTTACGGCTTGTCTATTCAATACCAAACATCCAGCCTACCATATCAGAATTAATCAAACAACCTGCTTCTCCCTGAATATTGAAATTTGAAAGAAATATTCTGCTTCTGACAAACCTGGAGATATATTACAAATAAAGATGTAATCTGCTTTGAAAATCACACCATATTGGGAATTTAATTAAGCCTACACCTGATCAACAGCAATAGTCTACCGCCACTGGAGACAACCAAGCCACGCGCCTCTATAGAATGCGGTACCTTTTATCTATAATTTATTGCTCGGACATTACCTTCCAGTATCAATCATGCTCTTGAGACCGTCTTCGGTGCTAATACAACGTTGCAATTCGGTATTTTTGGAGGCCAGAAGATGCAAGAGGTATGTGCAAGTTGGATGGCTCATCTTTGTACATAAGCCCCAAGTTCAATTTTGAATCCAATTATTTGCTAGTTGGGTCGTGGCTTCTCGTGTAGTGAGACTAATATGCGGGAAAGCAGTTGATGTGGTCTTGAACTGATTGTATATTTTCTCCTGGAGTTTTATTTGCGGGTATATGCCTTTTAAAGAGACACTTCCTCCATTCTTCATTCATTCGGTTAGAGCACTGCCTCTTGCATCTACTCGTATAATCTATATTTGCAAATATTTTGGCTGACACCACCTTCTCTGATGTTCCGATATACTCATGCTAAAGAAATCACAAAAGTAGATCTCCAAAACTGGGGATTTTCGTGCAATGCATATGTTATATAGAGTCTATTTATTGTATTTTACTGTAATACCTAAAACTCATTTTGTGGTTTGGGTCTGGGCAAACGAAACCACATATGTTTGAATTACTTTTTCACTGACGTTTCGGACACCACGATGGCTTTTTTGGATATTTTTTAAAATATATAGATTAGAACAAGTAATTTAAAACATAATATATGTGGTTTCGTCTGGTCAGGTAATTATCGAATCTTATTGCATTTTCTGTCCCCTACCAAGTCCTAGGAGGGATATGGTATAATACCAGTAATCTTTCATAAAAATTAGCTTTTCCAAGAAATTATCCGATATCAACAAAACCATCTATTGTGATCATTATTTAGATGTTAGCAATTTTATACTGTTACTTAAAAGCCTACTGCAGTGACATAACTTAGTCGTAAAAAATACTCAAAAGCAAGAGCTGCTATTTTGAATTTTGATGCAACGCATTCGGTAATTCCAAATGGTTTTGTATTTTAATATAACTCTTATGGGTGGTGCAATGCCGGAAACAATCAATTGTGCAAGGAATAAACTAGATACTCGTAAAATAATGTGCCCGCAGCGCTACGACGAAGTCGATCAAGTGGTTCCACTAGCAGCTCTTGCTAACTTTAGAAAAGTATAGTTGTAACTTAATTATCTCTTACCAGTTATACTAACTAAATCCAATGGTCCGTCCGCCGTCATCCACCCCCAGTATCCCATTGTCGTCCGACCCGTGGTTCTGTTGGGGATTATGTTTGCTGGGTCGTATCTAGTGTTGTTCCGACGCCATAGCGGCGGTCGGTAATCCGTATTTGTACAAAAAATTTTTTCATCGGAGAAGACTACGGTGCTCCAGTCCCTATTCAGGTTCTCCTGGCAGAACTGTAGTCTTCTCTTTCTATGATCCTCAGTGAGCAATGGCTTCACTGCCGGTATCCTTCTGTGGATGCCTTCCTTGTGCAGATATCTACCCACTGTCGTTCTATGACACTGTAGCCCCAGTCTATCTCGCATTGCGAGCGCACTACAAAACCTATTTTCGTCATTGAACGCAATCAGCCTGCTCACGTCTTCATTTGATAAGACGTTGCGTCTGTGGACATTTGACCTGTCGGTTTCCAAACTGCCACCTTCCCTATTCCGCCTAATCCAGTTTTGGACTTGTCTTAGCTAATAGAAAAAGTAACATTCAGAAAAGTGTACTATGATCAAAAAGACTGTATAATTTACCGACATATCAAACTGATCTGCTATCTCCGCGCTGGATATTCCCGTCTCATAACATTTGATGATCATTCGTCTCTCACGCGAGGTTGTTTGTTGTCGAGACATATTTCTTCTACAACACTACTGCGCTCCAGAACACTCAAACAACAACTGAGAACTGATTATCGAGGCTAAATCCACTAAATGTAAGAGTTAAATAGAAAAATATGACTTTTTTTCTAGCTACTGTCAATTTCTTTGTGAGCCATAAACACAAAATACAGCTTTTGTCCTTGAGGTGCCGCGCCGCCGACTGCATTAGCGTACCCGCTGGCTGTTCCACTTCCACATTCATAAGAAAAAATTACATGGATTACTCTTAATACCTATTGAAATTTTGTTTCTCAAATGTCTGGTAATATTTTATGACTAAAAACAGGATAGTTTCTTTGATTAATGCATTAATTTGTAAATTGAATCAAGAAGGACTCATTCATTTCTTATTTACTTCGTCGCCGCCGTTGGCTTAGTGCAATCCCAATGTCTAAAGTGGCTGAACCTACCAGTATGTCTACAAAGTAAGAAGCATGATACAAATACAAATCTTCCTTGACCAGCGGCAAATTATCATGATAGGTTTTGCAGGTCATGTCAGTTATGACCAAATCCAACATTCTTTGTCTAGCATTCAAAACAGTATTGGTTTGAGAAAGACCTGAATATTCCAAAAATCTGTTAAGTGCAGTCGAATGTCTATCAACAATTGTATTATCAACAAAATTTGTTACACTGAAATCTCCTATAATTAGGACATTTAATTGACTTATTGTAGTTTGTGAAAATAATTCCAAGAATGTTTCAAAATCTACAAGTGTTACTTGTGGTGGTACATACAGGACATATATAAATACCGAATTAAATCCTATAGTACACTTGACCCCTAGAATATCGATCAAGTAAATTTCATTGCGAATGTGCTCAAGATTAATTGACTCAACATCAAACATATCTTTACATGCTAGCAAAACCCCTCCTCCGCATGAAGTGTTTGTTTTTAAGAAATCGCAGTCACAACGGTAGACAATATACTCCGGAGGAAATAGTTCCGAATTTCTCACACCACTACACAACCAAGTTTCGGCAAGTCCTACAAAATCATAATCAGAAGTCAAAATTGCGGAATAAAATTCATTGAATTTGGTATTCAGTCCGCGCACGTTTTGGAAATAACAGCGCATAGGGATGTTTTTGTTGGGCTTCCCTAGTTTTCCGAAACGATTCTAGGGACACCACGAGCGTACTTGATCTTTGAGCCGTCTTCACCTCTTGCAGAGCGTTCTTCCATCTCCTGTTTCAGTTTTTTATAATGCAAGATCTGTCGAGGTGTACGATCAAATGAGATACTAGTCCTGGAGAAAACATTGCTCCTCTTTAAGTTGCTAGCTGACTTAATACAAGCACGAACATCATCTTCATCCCCAAGTGTTATTTTCATGGGCCTCATTATACCAGCTTTGATAGATCCTAGTCTAATCGGCTTAATACTATCGGCATTAACATCACGATCCAAGACCTGTAGAATCTTTTTGACTTGTTCAGTGTCATGAGCCCTCTTTTGCGCGTTGGACTGATCTGCACTCTCTTGAACCCCAAAGATAATTAATTTTTTCTTCCTAGACTGTATGTCGTTTATTTCTTGAATTATATCTTCATAGTCGACAGAAGGTGATATCTGGGCTGTGTCAGTGCGAGTAGACTTGAGAGCGTTTATTTCCTCTTGCAAAGAAATGACCAATGCTCGAAGATCAGATAATGTAGCACCAATCATGCTACAGTTTTTACAAGTGAAATGAACGTTTGATTTGCTTTTCAAAATTTTGGCATCATTTTGGGACAACTCAACGCAGCTGTAAAAATAATGGTTCTTGCACACAGAACAGCTCACAAACTTGTTGTCATCCCCAAGTTTTTTGCAGCAAGTACAACTCATTTGCGTAGTTTGAGGCATTATGTGATTTGATTTCACTACCAGGAGAGTGCAGAATTCTAGGTAAATACGGCAACGCCGGTTCCGTTTTCACGTTGAACGCACGGATTCTTCCGGTGTTTACAGGTTATGAAGATGTATCAGATGCCAAAAAGGCTGACGATAACCAATGAATAGCACACTATTGGTAACAAGTGACCTTAGATATGCCGTCTGGTTGCTTGAGACGAAATTATTTTTTTAAGAATGCTGCAAAACAGATCCAAAACACGCACATCGAAAACTACACTGTTGTCACATGGTGACACCACAGAAAACTACAACTTGTGTAGGTGAATAACCCTGTGCGGCGATTGATACCAAAGATATTTGATTCATTAGTAGCATCACGTATGTTGAAAAACATTACATTTGAAGAAGAGATCACGGAACCATTGTGCGACAGGCTTAAAGATCCTGATATTAGTGACAGATGACACGTTATGACAGCTGCCAGCCAGTTAAGTAAAAAATTTTAAATTTATTTCCTTTTAACATTGTCCTGTAAGAGGACAATGGCCTTAAACCATGACACAATTATTACATGTATTTTAAAAAATAAGTATATTCCCTTACCTTCAAAACTACATCAAATAAAAAATAGGAGTGAGTCATCACAGATCAAACATTTGTACGTTATTTTCTATTGACGCAAAATAAGTTTTTATAAAACTTAAACGACTGGAAATAAAAAATAATGTAATAACCTTTACACTTTCATATATATTCCTGTCTGTAGAGTATCTTCTCACGTGTTACTTCACGAACCCGCAATTTTCTGTTCTTATCTCTCACAGTTTTTGAAATTCAGCAAACTTGCATAATATAATTTCCAGGTTGAATAATAAAAAGTGGATGCGCAACTAATTTCAACTTTTCAATACATCTGAAGTAAGTCTATTTGAGACAAGAAACCAATGGAATTACCATTGACACATATTATTAGCACGCACATCCTCATTATGTACCTATGCACTGCCTTTTCCTTCCAAATGTAGTCTATAGTATAAACTTTACAGCTTAGATCTAGAATATAATGCCATCTCTGAAGCACTAGATACATCACACCATAGCCAAACCCACAGATAATGACGTTTAGGCAACACGTACAACTCAAACGAGTTCCCCTATAGTGTGAATCGCTAGTACTAAGTCAACGTCTTGGCAAAAAACTTGCATAATGTCAAAAAAAAAATCGGTATAATGTCACTTTTAAGGTTACGTGATACCCGTGCCGTGCGGTTCGTCCGACAGGATGTCAGCGTGATGGAAGAGTCTTGAGGGGCAAGGTCCTTTGTCTGTAGAAAAGAGCCTGATATCAATTTACATATTCACTTTTTTAACCACACATCTCCATACGTCTGCTGTACATTGTGGCCCATCCATGTGTGGACAAAATATTACTCAGAATCAAATACATTTTGGGAAAATCTATTTATAGCATGTTATACATTAGAGGGCACATTTCTAGAATATTGGCAATTATCGGCAACCCCTCAATCCGCCATTTTGAAATCTGGTGTACTGAATTTTGTATCAAAAAAGCTTACACCCCCCAGCTTTTATCTTATTTGTTACTTTTTCGAATTTTCATTTTTGCTCATACAGGATGGTCAAAAACGCGAATTGTACTTTTTCTTAAAAATTTAAAATGCATCACCCTGTATATTTGTGCAAGTTTCGATTCAATTTTTTATAAGCTTTTTTCTGGTATGAGGTTTGATGCAGATAAAGTCACTAGATTTTGAGTTATTAAGCTTTTAATTGAACAACACACCAAAATTAAGGGAAAAAATCACATCATCCATGGAAACAAAAGACAAACAATGGGCTAGTTCCATATTGCCACTAAGAGTACAGATTTGACGTAAAAACTGATAACAATCAGAACAGTATAAATCAGCTTAAGCGTAATAGAGAAAACCAACTATAACAACATAAATAAACAACTATCACTACTCAAGACCTAATCTACGAAAACTGCTCGAAAATATCTCCACCATCTTGAATACAAAGCCGCAGTCTTTGCATAAATGACCGTTGAACATCCCTCAGCATGTGTCCCCTTATGTTCAGAAAAGCATCCCTAATCCTTTCCTTCATATTTTCCGGGGTAGATCGTCGATATTTACATGTTGGCGCAGAGTAAACGCATGATTTTTACGTAAGCCTAACATTTTTTTGTTTAAGATAAGTTTACAGCTAAATAAAGTAATAATAGTGCACTTTTAAATTAATCATGGTAAATTATGTCACTCAAGTGTCGCCTTTCTTCGAGCTCGCACATCACCAACCCTTCTTAACTTTTCTTGTGGTATTCTTGCGAGTTTTTGATGAATAGCAATTTTCAGTTCCTGTAACGTACGGGGTTTGTGAGGTACACTTTAGCCTTAAGGTAACCCCACAAAAAGAAGAAACCGGAAATCATATGCTCAGGAAACATTTGTCGAACACATTCCATTGATGCTCTCGCTGTGTGAGCTGTGGCACCGTGTTGTTGGAAGTACAGTTCTCCCATGTTTACTTGTTGCCGTTGAAGATCGGGTAACAGAAAATTTTGTAACATGTGAACACAACGTGCTAAAGTAACTGTTACTGCTCTTTCTTCCTCCTCAAGAAATTAAGGACCAATGATACTTAATCTACTAATTCCGGGTTACACAGTCAATTTTTCACTACGCAAGGATCGTTGGTGTAGCCTCGTGGATTTTCGGCCGCCCAATACCTACTGTTCTGCTTGTTTACGTATCTCCACTCATCATTATGACGACGTTAGGATCATCAGAAAAAATGGTCAGCATTCTCGCACAAAACTGTCTACACTGTGCAAAATCACTTACCGTTAGCTCTTGCACAATCATTATCTTATAGGGATGTAATGATCAACGGGACATACGCAGAGCCAGAGCTTGTCGCCCAGTGGACCGTAGAGGACTATCAAGGACCGCTCTTCTCACTATTTTTATATTGCCTGGTGTCCGAACGGTACGGGGAAGGCTAGGTGGCTTTCTCTTCATTACAGATCCAGTAGTTCGAAATGGCTTAACCCATCGAAGTAACGTATGTCGATCTGGAATTGACCCTTGGCGTTCAACAACGATCTGGCGACGGAATAAACGTTGCACGGCAACCACAGAATCGTTGCTTCGGAAAAATTGCTCGACGGCAAACACACGATGCTCAGTTGTCCACGGTGCCACGGCTAAAACTGCATTACCTGTGTGCTCTGCTGGCGGTGAGGCAAGGTCAACCCACTTCTCTTTGCGAAATACTATTCACTCAGAGAACATGCGCTTCCTCTGCGCCACACTGTATAAACCTCTTGCTTAACGTAGCCCCATAGAAAGAAGTCCATCGGTGTCATATTTGGTGATCTAGGAGGCCAAGATATAGGCCCATCACGACCGATCCAGCGATTGTTACTCCCGGTGACCAAATAGTTACGCACACGATTATCATAATGCGCAGGTGCGCCGTCATGTCGGAAGTAGATATGCATCCGAGTTTGCAGGTTGACATCATCCAAAAGCAAAGGCAAATGCTCGACCAAAAAATTCTAGTATTCTGTACCTGTTAATCTGTTGTCGAAAAAGAAAGGCCCGATAACTTGTCTCCCAATAACTCCTCCCCAAACACTCAAACTCCACTTAGTAAGGAAATCTATCTACCTAACCCACTACGGGTTTTCCGTCGCATAATAGTGCATTTCAAGGCTGCTGATAACACCTATGTTGTTAAAAGTTGCCTCATCGCTAAAAAGAACCTTATTCAGGAAAGTAATGTCTTCACTCACTTTATTTACATAGCATTATTCTACTAAACTCCATTCGAACTGCGAAATCCTAAGGACGAAGGCCTCGATGCAAGCACAGGTGCTTTGGATGCTACCTATGCTTGTAAATAATCCTTTGGACAGAAGTTCTGCATGTATCAGTTTCTGCTCCAATGGGGATTTTCCTGCAGCTTTAATAGAACCTCCAACTTATTCGCCTCATTGGTAACATTTGGATTATTTATACATTTTTCGTGCTAACTTTTGATTACAGTGCGAGCCGAGGCCTTAAATGTTTACGAACTTGCTCCACTGTGTAGTCCACTGAGTTACGCAAAAGAGGATTGCTGTACGATTTCTCTTGACTATAACGTCGCTGCGCCTGAATCTTGACATAATCCCTCAAATAAGGAATGTCAAGGTCTCTGTGAACTGTCTCATTTGAGACATACCATGGAACGTTGCAAATTGACCGAAAAGCTCTGTTTTGCAGTACTTGGAGACTTTGCATGTGTGTCTTGGCATGAAAACATCAAGCCGTACACGCTTAAGTAATGGCTGGTCTAATAATCATTTTATATAGTCGGACTTTGTTTATCAAACTCAATTTGGAGGATCTACATAACAAAGGATATAGTTGCCGAAACGCAATTTGGAATTTTGTTTTTATGGATGCTGTATCTTTCTGCCAGGTCATGCCTTTATCAAGGGTGACACCGAGATACTTGGAAGAATTTGTCCATGGTGCAAGATTTCCGTCAGCGTTTTTTGGTCACGTTGTTGACAAAACATTGTTAATTCTGATCCAAAACTTCCTTCCTTCAAGAAAGGATTTCAGTAATTTTAGAAGACAAAAAGGAAAACCATTTTGGATCTGTTTGTAGAGGAGGCCCGCGTGCCACACCTTTTCAAAGGCTTTGAGACATCAAAAAGCAAGATACCAGTACTCATGCTGAGTGTGAACCCTCTGGCTACATGCTCCATGAGCCTGACTGCCTGTAGCTCGGTGCTATGCTCGGACCAAAAACCG